GTCAGCTTCACTTGCGGAGCCGGAAAAGGGAACTCCTCCTCCAGACCGCGTTTTGAAGTGGGTGAGCTGTAAATTTGAGGAATTGCCACTCCACCCCCCGTAGGCTTTGGTCGGGCATGTGAATGGATAAGCGCTGTAGTCAGGAGTCGATTTATTAAGGTTAATTCCTGCCACTCCCAAGTAACTCTGACGAGTTGAAACATCACAAACCCTTATTTTATTCGGCTCAGCAAGGCTGGGTTGTGTTATCCTCTGTACGGTATCTGCTGTTTAATTTGTATGATGATCTGGTTCGCAGATCTTTTCCTGAAAAAACTGTAAATGTTTTATATAATTGACGTTTATCTGCTCTGTGTCAGCCTTGCTGCTTCTCTTTAAACGCTTTTGGTGTTTTCCACAGGAGGGGGAAGAAGGCTTCTTTGTAGCAATGCTGGATCCGTTAGAGAACAACTTGTTTGATCTTCCTGATTATGAGAACACAGAAGACGAAACCTTCCCACCTCTTCCACCTCCTGCCTCTCCAGGAAGAGACGATGCAGAATGGGCTCAGGCTAATGGAGGTGAGCACCCCCTAAAAATCCCATTTTAATGCTGTGCAGTTGAAATTAGTGGTGTTGGACTTCAGTGCTTAAAAATAGGCAGAAAAACTGTAAATGTAAATTGTTAATCATGCAATGCTTTCCAGCTTGTGGGAAAAATTTATTTTTGTAGAGTCCATGAAAATACGTGCACAAAGGAATCTTTATAAAACTCAAGCTCCTCTGACACAATGTTGCTACAAATAATTATACAGCAATGATCTATAATTACTCTTTATGACTTAGCTTTTAGGAGGGTAAGAGTGTTGGATGTGCTCTCAATGCACATGACACAATCCTGGGTGATGGCAATTGTTTTGAATACTTAAATGATGCTTTTCTCCCCCAGATCCAGATGGAAACCAGCAGTCCCAAACAAAGGATTCTGCTGTGACCACACAGAAGGCAGTAAAAAGACAAAGGCCTAAATTAGATGCCCAGAGGTAACTTTATACAGAATATTTCTTTGTGTGCTGAGTTTGATGTAGGGCTGTGGGAGAATGATACAGGTACCTCTAAAACTGGTGTGAGTTCTTTATAATCAACACAAAGAATCCAAGCTGCTCAAGTAATGTGAGAGTTTTTTCTTTGGTTTTTTTTTTTACTTGTTAATTGGAAGAAGAAAGTAGGTTTCCAATAACTCCCCCATTTCGGATTCCCAGGTTAATTTCAGAAAGAGGAATCCCAGCTCTGAGACACATGTTTGACAACGTGAAGTTCAAGGGCAAAGGGCATGAGGTAAGAGCTGGTGAACTTTGGGTTTGTTTCCAGGAGGTGAATGCAGATTTGCTAGAGTGCTGCCCATCTGCTATGGGGAGCATTGATAGAATTCTGGTTAGCCAGCTTCCCAGCAGTGCCTGACAAGCCCTGATGCTGTTTGGAGCTTCAAACTTAAAAACAATCATTAAATGCTTTAACAAAATCCATCTTTTGATCATAAAATTCTTTCCCTCGACTCTAAAAGCAGAATATCCGATCTGTGACTCTTGTATTGTCCATGCAAGCAGGGTTTTGAATCCCAAGGTTTTTTTAAAAAAAAAATGTGTCATAGCACTTGAGAAAGAGAAATAAGGACTTTCTCTACAAGATTTCTTATGTTTTGGGTGCACTTCAACATGCAGAGCTTATTCTCCTTTGCATATCATTATAGAGTTTGTTGTAGGTAGGGGAGGATCAGTCTCTTCTCCCAAGTAACAAACAAATAGGACAAGAGGAAACGGCCTCAAGTTGTGCCAAGGGAGTTCAGGTTGGTTATTAGGGGAAGTTTCTTCACCAGGAGTGTTGTCCAGCCCTGGCAGCCTGTGCTGTGGAGTCATCATCCCTGGAGGGATTAAAAGACATTCAGATGTGACGCCTGGGGACATGTTTTAGTGGTGGCCTTGGCAGTGCTGCTTAGTGGCTGGGCTTGGTGATTTCAAGGACTTTTCCAACCCAAACAATTCCATGATCTCTTGGCACACTGGCAAGGACACCTGTGCATCTCTGGTTTATGTGTTCTCATTACCACTGGAGCACAAAGGAACTGGGCAGTGGTGCTGAAAGGTGCAAAAACCTTTCCTAGATCAGCCTAATTTGATGTATCTTCATTCTAAACATCAGGATCAATGCCAGCTGTGCCCCTGTGGATTTATTTCAGCCTGAGTTCAGGCCTGATTGTTTAAGGACAATGCTTCAGGACCTGCAGATGTTTTACAGGCTATGCAAATGCTCCTCTGAACTTGTATCAGTGCTGTTCTCACAGCCTGAGATTACAGTGACACTGGATTGTGGGAGGAGGAAGGAAAGGTTTCCCTCACATTGGTACTGCTGACACTTTGCAGGGACTGGCAAGCTGCAGCTGCCCCATGTGCTCAGGAATCTCTGTCCCGTTTCCCTCTGCAGTCTCCCTTCTCTGTCAGCTTTGGTAGCTGGGTGTTGTCTTTCCTGCTCCAGGCAGAGGACCTGAAGACACTGATCCAGCACATGGAGCACTGGGCCCACAGGCTGTTCCCACAGCTGCGGTTCGAGGATTTTGTTGACAGGGTGGAGTCTTTGGGAAACAAAAAGGAAGTTCAGGTATGTATTTCTGTCAGCTCCTCTTCACGGTGTTTGGAATAGTGAAAGAAGTAGGTTTAGGGGATCAGTTATGCAGCAAAAGAAGACTTAGGTTGTGCATACTGCTGAGAAGTATAATGTTTAAATAAATTTCTCTCAGTTTAGAGCTTTGTCTGTTATTTATGTTTGTATTTAGATACAACCTTTCTTTATTTGAAATAATCTTCCAGAGAATTGGCTTTTGTTTGGTTGATTTGTAATGTTTGAATTTGCAAAAAAGACTGATAAAGAATTCAGCTTCACATGGCTGGTTGATAGATGAAGGACTGGGAAGATGATCACAGCATTGAAGGTCTGTGTGTCAAATGGACATGAAGAGAGAGTATTTTTTCAGAGTAATAAAGAGTAAAATTGCTGTGGTTTTCCCATCCTTCCAAAGTTGCACATAAAAACTTGCTACAGATGAACACCAGTCTTTTAATGTCCCACCTGCAGACCTGCCTGAAGCGGATTAGGCTTGATCTTCCTATTTTACATGAAGACTTCAAACATAATGAAGGTAAGCTCTCTCTGCTATTTGTTCAGTACTTCAGTGCTTAACATTATTTATTTCCCTTCCTACTGACCTGAAGTGAATGATCATGATAGGCATTTCAAGTGTAGAAGAAATTGTTGAGATGTTTCTGCTTCAAAACCAGGCTTCTGTGAGTCTTATGATGACAAAGCTGAACTGGTACTTGAACATATGTGTGTAAAAATAAATAAAAGTGCTGAAAGGAAATGGAAAATGGGATTAACCAGCATTGTTAGAAATATTCTTCAAAAAAAAACCCCTAAAAGTGCAATTGTTGAGCACACAGGTTTGTGTTGCAGTCTCACATGAGTGCAGTCTGGAGAGCTCTTGGATGCTGCTAAAGCAGGAATCACAAGCTCATGCTGATCATTCTCTGAGGAGCTGCAGTGCAGTCGGGGTGTGCTGTCCCATGCTCGGGGCACTGTTGTGTCTGTCAGAGCTGGCACACAGCTCTGGGAGAATTCCTTCTGCCAGGGTCAGAACCCAGCACTTAGTGAGGACATAAGAGTCTCTTCAGTCAGATAGAAATTAGACAGCAACAGTATTTAATTAAAGAGGAAGTAGAGTTCACCTGGTAGTTTGTAAGAAACTTTAGCAGCAGAAAGGAGGGAATTTCATTGTCATTCCTAAGGACCTGTGTAGGGTTTTGCATTTCTACTGTCAGTCTCTCTTGAGAGCATTATCTGCCCACTGTCCCATTTGTCTCCACGTGAACCTTGGCCTCCAGCCCAGGCAGTGCTTGGGAAGGTGCTGTGGATGAGTTCATGAGGGAGCAGCTGGCCTGGGCTTTGGGGTGCCCTCAGGGCAGCTGGTGTCGTGGCTGCCTTCACTGCTGCTGCACTGTGAGAGCTGCAGTGCAGCCAGAAGCAGCCACGCAGAGCAACGCGAGTGGTTCCTGCCGACAGCGTCTGCAGAGCGATCAGAGTGTTCTGTGCGATGGTTCCACACACTGCCCTTGGAACGGGCCTGGAGCTGGGCTGCTCCTCAGCTGGGGGCTGAGGGCACTGCTGAGCCTTCAGGGGAACAGCTGGAGTAGGCATCCCGCAGGTGTGACATGAACCTCAGCCCGGGCTGTTGTATTAGCAGCCCATCCTTTTTGTCAGCTCTCCTTTCTATTCACAGGCTTAAAGCGGTGCAGAGGCTTGGGGTGCTCTGCTGCTCTCTGGGTGGGTGAAGTTTGTCTAACTGAATTGACTCCACTTTGCATGTTTCAGTGCTGGTAGATGAGTAAATACCTCTCTAATAGAGCACACTGAATTCAGAACTGAGTACTCAATGTATGTGTTCAGACTTCTGATTCACAGAATCCTGGATTGGTTGGGGTGGAAAGGGTCCTTAAAATCCATCCTGCCATGAGCAGAGACACCTTCTGTTAGTGCCACACAGCCTGGCCTTGAAAGGTTGGAATTCTTGCAGGACTCTGCCACTTCCTAAAGGACAGTACTTTATTAATAGGGTTGGGAGGAAGGTTGGCCCTAAGGCTTGCCTGGATGTCCTGTCCCTTTTGAGCCTTCAAGCACAGCTGCTGTTGTTATCTTAGTACACAGAGCTGTGTCTCTGCACTCAGGCATTGATGGTTGTGTGTGTGAGGTCTGAGCACGTGTACCCTTTGAATACTGAGCCTAGGCAGAAAATTTCCCATTAAAATTAAATTATGGGATGAGCTTTGGCTGTCAATACAAAACGTAGAACACATAAATGCTTCCACAATATTCTCTTGACTGATGTGTTGTGGATCTCGATGGATTTAAAGTGTTGATTCTGCCCCTCTTCCCCCTGCCGCCCCTCCTTTTTAAGCAGAAGCAGACGGGGAAAGCAATGGGCTGGATGCAGCTGCTGAAGATGCACATTCCCACTCTGGCGGTGCAGAGGAGCTGAATTCCCTGCCTGGGACAAGCCTGACAGAGGAGCAGCAGGAGCGGATGAAGAGGAACCGGCAGCTGGCCCTGGAGCGGAGGCAGGCGCGGCTGCAGGGCCTCAGCCAGTCCCAGCACCAGGGTGAGGACCCCATTCCTGTGGGAACAGGGAGGGCAGGGGCCTGAGCTGCTGGCTCATGGCCCCGGTGGCTTTCCCAGTGAGTGCTGCAATGTGCAACTCTCACATTTGAACAGGTTTCCTGTAAACTCCCTGCTGGTTGTACCAAGCTGTGACAGCTTTGTCTCTGGTGAAATGAAACTCAGCCTCTTACCTCTGAGCTGACTGCCACAGCCTGGGATTCTGGTGATGGAAACGTCAGTTAAACACAGCAAGTGTCTGGTCATGGTTTTCCTTTTTTTCCTCCACAGAGCTCCCCATCAGTTACTCAGAAGAGGAGTTGGACAGCCCAGTTGCTCAGGATCCCACTGACCTTACTGAAGACACTCAGGTTCCTGCAGCCAAGGATGCTCCCACAGAAGATGGAAATGATGAATTGGAAAGTGCCAGGGAAGAGCAGTAGCTCCCTCACACCGTGAATGCCTTTTTTGACCAACAGTAAGTACTGGCATTGTACTGAAACGTTGCTGGCTCTTGGCACTGCAGAAGCTTCAGGGAAGTCTTTGCCATGGCGTCACTGAAGGACAGAGCTCTTCCCTGGAAGCTGCAGGGGAGCAGCTCCATACACCAGGAAACAGAACAAAGTTCTTCAGCTGCACTTGAGCCATCTTTTCCACCTCCCAGAATGTTTTCTAGGAAATGTTTATGAGTTTTTGGACCTACTTTGAATACAGTTTATCATTTATGTTAGACTGAATGAACTGGGATGTTGATGGATTAAGTTGCTATTAAAGGTGTGTTTGGGTTTTTTTAACAGGTCTTTTAACAGGGGTACTGGATTTTTTTTAACTGCTTATCCATTATTTATATATTTTTCATATAAAATGGAAGCTGTTAAATTCCAGAAGTCAAACCTGAAATTCTTGTTATGAGGCTGCTACAAGGCCAGGGCTCCCACACTTCCCCATGCTTTGGGTCAGACATCTCTCCTCAGACAAACACCTCCCCTCAGGGAACAAGACCTTCCTTTCCCTGCTCCTGGCTCTGCTTGAGCCTCTGCTCCATCCTCTTCTTAGAGTCCTGGTTTTCCTTACACAACAGCTTTTCCCTTTTGAGGAATAAAGAGGAATCACCCCTTCTAATAAAGGGATAAAAAGTACTGAATTTCTACACACTGAATTAAACCACTACCCTCAGGGCAACAGGTGTTACTTTATGAAGGAATTTGCTTTCTGTATCCTTGTAGGGAAGAAGGAAGTATTTAGGTTTTAAGAACTTAATTTATAGACAACATGAGCGAAGTAATTTTTTGAATGATTTTTAAGAGAATTTACAGCACACAGCCTTTAGTCTGAAATATGAGCTTTATCAGGTATAAAATCTTTTCATAACTCATCCATACTCATGATCAGATAAAAATAATTCATATTTAAAATAGATGTTTAGCTTCTTATTGAAAGGACTTTTGAATATTTAAATAAACTCATTTTTTAAAGATCCCCCTAAGCTCTTGTGCACAGTGAACAGGAGCGGGACAGCCCCAGCAGCTGGTGGCAGGTCCCAGTTCAAGTCCTGATGTCCTCTGTCACATCCAGCAGTGCCAGCTCCCGGATCTCCTCCAGCAGCTGGTACAGGCTGGGCCCCTTGGTCTGGCAGAACTCCCGGGACTCCTCATCCATCACTTCCACCCTGGCTCTCTCCTGGGCCCGCTGGGCCTCCTCTGCAGACTGGCTGACTTCTTTCACCAGGTCAGACTTCACCTGGAAGCTCCTGTGGGCAGCCTCCGTGTCCGCAGTGCGGTGCGGCGCGTTCCTGATGATCTCCAGCTTGATGGTTTCGGCGTGGCAGCGCGAGGTCTGCACAAGGATTCTCACCTGCACAGCAATACTGTGGTTACATTTCTGATGGTGCTATTTCCTTTGCTTCCCCTCACATGAGATACTCACTGTGATGTGATCAAAAAGGCTCAAGGTCATCGAGTCTCCAGTAGTTGTAGTGGAGGTGATTTTATGCTGAGAGCGATGGAGGGATCCAGGCTTCCACTGGCAGCTCCCAGCCCCTTGACAGGAGATGACCAAGCCCTCTTTGTTTTTCATGTAGGCTGCACCTTTGATTCCATACCTGCAAAAGAGCAGAGAGAAGCTATTCTAACCATTTTCAGGTCTCTTAGTTTCAAAACCTGCAGGCTGGCTGGAATTGTAGAAAAGCAACAAGGGGGGGGAGAAGGCACAGCAGCCTGATAACCCTGCCTCAGGAACACTGAGAGGTGTTGTTAAAGAAACCCAGACATGGAAACAGCATGCAGTAAGTGTTTTGAGAGCAGCGAGGCAAAAGTGAAATAGTCAGTGATCCATTATCTTAGTGCTGGGTGGGGCCTGGAATGGATCAGTGATGGGAGAAGAGCTGCTTTACAGGTTTTTCCAGACAGATCACGAGGAGACAGTTCTCCATTTTAGAAAAAGCTCCTTGAACAGCAGCAGCGTGTTTGCCCTGGGTTCTCTGAAGGCAGCAGCCTTTTCTGGCTGGGGAGGCTCTTGAGGCAGCGCTGTGGCATGCTGGAGATGCCAGCTGTGAATTGAGCTGTGCCAGGCTGTGCCCTCGCACGCTGCAGCAGCAGCAGGAGTCACTCCCAGCCCGTCCCAGCCCCGCTCACCGGGGCACGAAGACGAGCACGCCGTTGGTGCGGATGGAGTAGATGACGCCGTCGGCCACGCAGCGCTCGTCGCTCTCGGCGCTCCTGTCTCGGAAGTACATGCACTGGAAGAGCTCTGTGGACTGCTTCTGAGCACGCTGGGCTGCCTGCCAGCACCCCACACAGAGACAAAAATACATAAATACTCCCACACGCATCTCTGCCTTTGATTTCCCAGCTGCTCTTTCCCATTATTTAGTCTCTTACTGTTGCCCTATTCTTTTGAGAGTTTTAAAGTTCTTCTAAAAGTTTTCCATGCCTTCTAATGTTTACATATTTCTACTGAATCTTCTCACACTGTTCATGTAAATAATGATTGTTTTGCATTCTTCTTTGTAGGTAGACAGAATTGATAGACTGTTAGTTTGACCAGCGTGGTTGGAGAGGTGGCAGTTTCACCCTCCAATCCACTGTCACTTTTAGTATTCTATATATAGTGGAGTCAGGAAATAAAATGCTCTCTTTTAGTTCTTTTCTTCCCTCTTTACATCCAACATCCGTGTGTGAGTTACTTTGTGTCGTTGGGTGACATCTTACCTGTCACCAAGAAAAATCACATCTAAAAGAAAATCCTACTTGCATTACAAGTGAAGTATGAGCACTTTTACTACCACTCTCAGAAGAAAAGCACTACAAATGAAAGTATAGTCTTAATTCACAGAAGCTAGTCAGGACTGGTATCCCATTCCCTAGTGCACCATGGAGACTCCCACGAGGACGCCCTTACCCGGTTCCTGTTATTGATGTGTCTGCACAATTCCTCCAGATCCTTGTTACTGATGATGTTATCCTTCACATCCCCCGTGCTTCCCCGCAGGGTGGCTGCCAGCAGGAGCCTGTGCACGACGATGTCAGCGTATCTCCTGATGGGAGAAGTGAAGTGAGTGTACTTCTCCAGGGCCAGCCCTGCCAAAGACAGGAACAGGGATGAGCAGTCAAAGCCTCCCCCAACAGCTCAGAACTCGCAGGAAAGGCAGAAAAGTGACCAGGTACCATAATGATGAAACTGCTCCTCGGGACAAGAGCCAGTTGAGAAGTACAGGGCGTTGGACATGGCGTGGGTGGCCATGGAGCGCAGCAGTTTGTTCACAATGGGATCCGAGGGGTCGTTTGCTCTGTCCAGAGACTCGGCCAAAGCCTTGTTAGACCTGGCAAAAAGGTGTTAATTCCAAAGAAAATGACACTATCCCTGGTTATAATGGCTCACAATTCACAACAGCATAAAACCCACATAGAAGTTAATAGACATTCATACAAAAATGGCAAGCAGAGTGATATTGAAACTCTCAATGCAGTTTAGTAACAGCTCTGCTCTAAGAAAATGTTTAGAAAAATCCCAGTTTTCACCCAGTTGTCTGCTGCAACCTGGAGAACCAGGGGCTGGAGCAAACTCCATCCTGTGCAGTTCAAAAGAGTGAGCTGGTCCAAACCTTTGTGTCCAGCACAAATGGGACAAGGTGACACCCAGGTCACAGAGGCTCTACTGATGCCCTTCACCACGGACTTCTCATGTTATCTTGCCCAAGTCATTCTGAATTATTTTGAGTCATTTAAAATTACTTCATTGCACAGAATTCCACTAATTTAAACCAGTAGTCTCTTAAGCAGGAAATACAGTGCAAATAAGGCCACTGCAGAGCTTGACCAGGGCACAGTGACTGAACAAATGTTTCATCTGGGTATGTCTAAAATTATTCAGCCACTGGCATTTGCTGTACAGCCAGCATAAGGAAGGCAGGCTTCTCCTGGTCATTACATCATCAGAAAGGTTCTGATAAAACTCCTTTTAAGAGCAGCTATGCAGTGTCTCTTAACATTGATACTCAGAGCTGCAATTGTTTAACAACAACATGGCCAGATAGTTAATTACTTAACTTTAATTACAGAACTTCAGTAATAAAAGCTACCGTGTGTCTATGGAGAAGCCTTTGGCACTGGCACAGTCCTGAAGCTCAGTGAAGAATTCCTGGCGTGGTGGAGGGTGCTGCCGCAGCAGGGCTTGGTGGGGAAAAGCCTCGGCAATCCTTTTTGCCACCCAGTGGTTGGCCAGGATCATGCACTCCGCCACGGTCTCGTGCACTTCCAGCGGCTGCTTGGGGATGAGGTCATGGATATTGCGTTTGTCATCCAGCTGCACTCGGATCTCGATCCCTTCCAGCTCCAGCGCGCCGCAGCGGTCCCGCTCAGCCCGGACGTGTCGCGCTATGTCGGTGAGCTTGGATATGGCCCAAACCAGCTCAGCCAGCTTCTTCTGCCTCGTTCCTTCATCCAGGCTTTTCAGCTCCAGGATATCCCCCACGACACTCGTGTCCCCATCCAACAGTCCCTGGGCTGTCTCGTACTCCAGCTTGTAGGCAGAGCGGATCAGGGTTCTGGTGTACTGCACCCTCAGCATCTCGTATGATTCCTTCTCCAGCTCCCACAAGACACTCACAGCGTATCTTAAAGACAACACCATAGTTCTGGAATAGCTCTGGCAGACTTAAACTCCCATTGCAAGCACTTTCAACTCTTAAAAATGTAGAGATTTAATTCTGGTTGTGGAAGCATCTTTTTCTTCATTAAACCAGTGCTCAGCAACACCACTAAATAATGCACTTGCCTTTCAGTCTCATGCATCACAACTGAAATGAGGACCAGCTACACAGCAGTATCTTCAATTCATCTGCTGAAACAGAGTACCCCTAAGGTGTAAGGTCTCCTTTATGTTAAAGCAGAGCTGCACTGTGATAATTATTTTTACCCATTTTTATTTTACTAGTCAGATGCATCCACAATGAACACCTCTGTACCCTGAATATCCCCAGGGCAGCCTTGCGTATCCTCACTGAGCCTGTAAATTGATATCAGCTGGTCTATAAAATTCACCCTACCTCTGGTAGAACGGAAAGGTAATTTTTAATGTATACAGTTCTTCCAATAATAATGCAAAATGACTTGTAGAAGTGTCCCTGCTGAGAACAATTCCCAAGCCTTACCTGTCCACTCCGCTGAGGAGGGAGCACAGGTCAGCGCTGAGGACGGAGGGCAGCATGTCATAGCGCCGGTCTGCCAGGTAATACGTGGTAGCCCTGGAACAAAACACAGCTACTGCTCTTCCCACCAGGACTCCTGGGACTACAGGCATTGCTCCA